AACCTCGGCTGGTTTAGCGGGAGCAACTGTGGCTACGCCCCACTGGCTGCCACTGCCAGCAGCAGACCCATGTTGTCAAAAAGCCAGATGTGGGGTGAAATCTGTTTGCTTGGTTTTTTTAACATTGGCTACTATTTCTAATAGTTTTTAAGTGCTGCTCAGAGGCCCAGATTGTTCTATTTGTGGGTATACACACACACACACACACACACAAGTGCCCCTGGAGCCCTTGCTGGCCCACCTCCCACAGGCAAGTGTCACCCTCAGCCTGTGCCCACCCTCCCGCTAGCATGCACACACCCCCTGCTCCCCAGGGTTCTGGCTAGGGTGGGAGGAGGCAAAGGCAGTGGCTAGCCAGGGGTTCTGTGAGCAGAGGCAGGGGCCATCCAGGGAGGTCCTGGGGGCAGGGACGGCTTCACCTCCCAGCACCCAGCACCCAGCCCTCGGTGGGCCCGGCTGATTCCAAGCCCACCCACCCACGGGAGCTGCGTACTTCCTGCTTCCCGCAGGCTACTCCACCCAGCCCCAGAAGCTGAGAAGCCATCCCTGAGAGGGGGGAAAAGGGGCCCCAAATGCATCTTCTCGGACTCAGCGGGCAGCGAGGACTCACCCTGCAGCCGAACCGCCCCAGCTCCCTCCCGTCCTCCCCATTCCCGCTCCTCGCCAAGGGGGTAAGAAAAGATGCTCTTCCGCTTCTCCCAATTGGCTGGAGGGAGCCCCTGCTCCCCCTGGCCGTGGGGTGAGGTCAGGGCGGGCAGGAGCGGGCGGGCAGCTCGGCAGGGCAGGGCAGGGTGCCCGGTGAGTCTCGTGACAGATGCATTTCTGGCCCGGAGCGTAACATGCCCTCGGCGCACGCACGTCCACCTGGCCTGAGCGTGCTGGCTGCCCCGCCCCCGCCCCGCACCCCGCCTGGTGTTTGCGCATCGTACACGTGTGACGGGCTCGGCAACTTGACCCGCTTGTGTCCTATCGTCTCAGTGCATTTGGTTGTTGGGAGAAACAAAACCATCTCGATTTTTTTCCTGATTGGATGATTCGGATATATTTTCTTTTCCTTATTCTTTTATGATTTCTTCCCTCCCTCTCCCTCCTGCCTCCCGCTCCCCGACCCCAACCCCTTCCTTTCTCCTCCCCGTTTTCTTTCCTGTTCTCCCTGGAGGGTGGATCGGGCCGGGAGGGCTTATGCTTTTTTTTTTTTTAGTTGATGCCTAATCTTCCACCCCTTCTCTGTCCCAACTCCGTCCGTCCGTCGGTCTTGTCCCTTTCTGGTTTTTCCCCCTCCTCCGCACCATGGCATTAATAGTGCTTTTTCTCCTCTCCCTCCTTATTTGGGGTCTGGCTTGCTTTTTCCTGTTGGTTGGCTTCATATGTAGGGCCTCTGTGATTGGTGACGGCTCGGAGCGCCTGGGGGTAGGCGGATGGTCACCCCCTCTCTCTCCACCCCTCCCCAGAATAACTTCATCAATCTGAGCTTCCTCCGCCTCTTCCGAGCTGCTCGGCTCATCAAACTCCTCCGTCAGGGCTACACCATCCGCATTCTCCTCTGGACCTTTGTACAGTCCTTCAAGGTGAGCCCCCCACCCCCACCCCTCTCCCAGGGCCGAACGGACAGTCCCGGGCAGGAACTGTCCTCTGCCCATCCTGGCTGCGGTTCTGTTGTCTGCAGGGCACCCGTCTTATAACGTCCAGCCCTGGGAGTGCCCTGAGAACCTTGAGGGGACACCCCCACCCGCACCCCACCCCAGTGCCTCATCCCAGAGCCATCAAATAGGCCCAACCAGTCCTGGCACAGCCCGGCACGGCATCTGGCAGAACTGGAGCCCTAGGGCCAGGGAGGGAAACGGTGCCCCTAAGGGGGTTCCCAACACCCCGTCCCATCGCCTTCTCCCCCCGCAGGCCCTGCCCTACGTCTGCCTGCTGATCGCCATGCTGTTCTTCATCTACGCCATCATCGGGATGCAGGTGCGCGCCGCGCAGCGCGGGGGCGGGGCCGGGGCCGGGGCGCCCCAGTCATCACCGCCCCCCCTCGCAGGTGTTTGGCAACATCGGCATCGACATCGAGGACGAGGACAGTGATGAGGACGAGTTCCAAATCACTGAGCACAATAACTTCCGGACCTTCCTCCAGGCCCTGATGCTCCTCTTCCGGTGAGGGGGGTGAGGGGAGGGGGAGAGGCTGGGGTTTGTACCCTCAACGGCTTTCTTCTGCTGAGCCAGGGGGTTCTTCTCTTCCTCTTCCGCTTTGGGTGGGCGTGTCCTCGGACGTCCTGAAGCAGGGGGCATGTCCTGATCAGTTTAATTAAAGTGTGGGGTGGGTCTCAGAGCCCTTCCTGGGTGGAACTGACAACCTCAGCCAGGGGAGCGCGCCAGAGCATTATCTGGTGCAATACCCCCCGCCCCCCCGCCGCCGCCCCCGACTGTCTTGGGAGGCGGCCTTGTCTGAGAACCTCACCGGACACACCGAGGAACCAGGCTTAGGGGCTGGTCGATGGGTAGTTACGGGCTCTGGGGCTCAAAGGCAGGGTCTGGGGTGGGGTGAGATCTGTAGCCCCCTTTCCTGCTGCCCCTCCAGAAGCCAGTCAGTGGCAGGGTTTCTTTGGGGCACCAGAGCCGGGCGCAGGGGCAGTCTCCTGCCCTGCCCGAGGGTCTGGATGGGGACAGCAAGGCTCCAAGCAGGGTCTGGGAAGAGTCGCCTCCAGCCAGGCTGAGCGGGGAGAAGAAGACACTGTGTGAATGTGTGCTGGAGGGACGGTCCCGAGCCCCTCCCCCCACCCTCACCCCATCTCTTGTCTCTACCCCCCTACCCCCTTGTGTCACCTCACTCGCTCCAGGAAGGGCTGCTGCTACAAGCCCCACCCCCCAGCCCCCAGCTTCTCCTGCATGGCGCCAGGCTCCCACTCACCCCAAGCCTCCAGGCTGCTTCCAGTACCGGCCACTTCTGCATGCTCTGCGAGTCCACATGTTATGATCCGCCCCATGGAAGGGATGGCTTGTACTTTGGGGATGGATGGACGGGAGGGGGCGGAGGACAGCTAGGCCCTAGGAGGAACTGGGTGGCCAGGCAGGGCTGGCGTCAGCTCAGAGGGACGTGGAGGGGTATTGTCTCGGCCGAGCCCAGGGTCGGGGCATGTTAGAGGTATATTCTCTAAATGGGCCAGAATAATCAGGGTAGGCACCCCTAGCCCCTTCTGTCCTAGCGGCCAGAGGGCCAGCCATGTGTCACAAAGTGCCCTAGACATTGTCAGCAAACCCAAAGAAACACAGCCCCAGAAATCCCTTGTGCTCATCACTGCCTCCTGCCCCTGCCCCAGAGCTGGCTCAAGATACTGAGCAGTTCACAACCTTTGAGGGCTGACCACTTCTGAGTTTAGAACGTATTTCTATCTCTCCACACATCCTGTTATCGAGGGCTCTCCTGAACCCCATAAAGCAACTTTAATGAAGGCCCCACTCTTAGCTGGAGACTCCCCACTTCTTTCTCTCCACCACCCTGCTAGAGGGAGGTCGGGTATCAAACTCAAGATGCCTGGGGGGATAGATGGGGGCAAGCAAATGTTGTAACCAGGAGAGCAGGTGGGACTACTAGAACATGGGGGGGGGG